AAAACCGCCAATCAGGTTTTCTCCTGTTGGAGGGTTTGGGAGTAGTACACACTAGCCCGGGGATTATAGTGTAAGAGGTACAGTTTATGGGGATATGTGGGTAACATAACAGTTAACCCAAGACTTGAACAGGTTAAGATCGTAGTTATTGAAGAAGCATCCTCTTGAGAGTCAGTTCCACAAAGCAGCAGTTTATGGGAAGAAGATGTTTGAGTGGAATTTACATCTCATCAAATGAATACAAAGGAACTCATGTATACTTGGGTCTTGAATAAATTAGGGTATTGGAATAAGTGGGGAAAGGAAATTTTATCAAAATCTGATAAGTGGTGGAGGTTTGAAAATTTTTTTAAAATGACAAGGAAAGATAGTACATTACATGATTAAAATATAATTTTAATTTGTTATGATTTGAATTAATTTTTAGAATTGAATGAATTTTTGTTTACATGAAGTTTTAGAATCTGTATCAAATCAGTTTTGCAATTGTTTTAACCAGTGTATGGTTGCAAAGGAAAAAACAAAGATTCAAATTTCAACAAGTGTGTATTGACCAATTTTCACAATATATCCATAATACTCAAGGCCAACAGATGTAGTTGTGTGAAAAGGACTTATCTGGCGTGGATTCACCAGTGTGAGTTCATGAGGTATATGCAGTTGGTAGCACAAGTGAGGGGTTGTTGGCGAGGTTAATCCGTGGTAACATGCATTGATGGGTCAGTTGACCATAGTCATGATGGTGATGACAAGAGACCGTGTTGTCAACAGCTGGTCTATCAGCCAGGTTCTGTGTCAGTTATTTATGAGAGGCTTTCTTTTAAGCAAATCTGGTGGCTTCATTATTTTAGGGGCAGCAAAATTCATGATTGGCTATTGTATTTTAGATTTTTGCAGGGATTTATTTTGTGGACCAGATTTAATACTTGGAGCCTCTATGCAGAAGATGACTTTTTTATATTTTGGGTTTTGCTTTCTAAGAACTGAAATTTTTTCTATGTAATTTACATGAAAATAATTATACACAAGAAGAGGGATTTTTTCCCAAATTACTAAGTTCAAGAGTACATCTTTCAAAACACAGTACATTTCATAAGTCAATACAAGTACTTCTTATGCTTACTTATTTCAATCAAACCTCACATTTTTACCCTTTGATAGAGCATGAAAAATGCAGTTTTCTCAAGAGATATGTTCAAAAATTTAAAATACACAATTTATTTAAGATTTTGTTTTTCTATGATCATTTTGTTGAATTCCATCTGCCTTAAAACCAATGCCAAAATCTATCACCATGTTAAAAATAAAAAAGGTGTTGCACTAAAAATATTACTTGTTGAGTCATTTTGTTTAATACTCACTGCAAAGCGCTTTCTCTTAAAACAGATTTACAGGAAAATAGGTTTCTCAAGTCTACTGTCATTGCTGTTTCCAGTATTAATGGGAACTTCCTTTCTAACCTTTTATTTTGTTAGGAACATTAAAATCTTGGGCAAACTTGGACCTTCATGCCCACAAAAAAACAAATTGTCAAAAGGATGGGTTTTCCCTTGACACCATTATTATTTTAACTATCTTCACTCCTCAACAATTGTTCTTGAGAAATGAAAACAAAAATAATCAACACTATTAGATTAGATATTGTTTATTCAAATGGTTGGTAAAACATTGGCTAATTGCCAATTGATCCAAACTTTATAAAATAGTAAATAATAAAGTTGGTCCACATATTTTAATAATTTAGTAAATGTTTATAAAGTTATGAATAAAAAATTGTTTTCATATTTATTTCTTTATAAATTGGTAAATGATAAATATTGCATTGCATTCATTTAAATTGTATGAGTTTTTATAATGTTGTAATTATAAAATTATTCTTGTAAATAAATTGATCTAATAGTTTTGTTGTAAATTCTCAAGAACCAAAAAAATGTATAAATTTTCTTTCATTATATGTCTAGGTCTTATTACAATTCTAATTATCAATTTTTAAAACAATAAACCAAGGCATGACTAATTCAAATAATAGCAGTGTCAAGGGAAAAACTATCCTTTTTTACACTCTGTTTTCTTTTGCAGACACAAAGTTAAAAGCTTACCACATTTTGATTATGACATTATTTTCTCTTTGAGCAACATGTCCTATCCATTTTATTTGTTGCTGTTGTTGATGATATTTCTGTTATTTTGTACAGTTCTTTGGGATTTTTTAGTGATAGTCTATGAAGTTCAAAGAAGTGTGATCTTTGCTAAGGTCTACATACTTTATTCACTCAAAGTCATTTATGAGAGCCATTTAAAATATGAATTAGAGTTTTTTTCTTTAAATGCTGTTTAAACCCAAGCATTCAGCAAATACTAAAATTTATACAATTATCACTTACCAAATGGTTGAGAATAATTCAAATAAGTTACAAAGGTCAAATTTATACTTAGTAAATTAGTCTTGTTAGTAAGACATAGTTAAAAAAAATAATCTGGCTTTAAAACATAAAATATTCTTTCTCCTAACAATGGCTTTATCTGTGATATTTGTTGTCGTGGTGATGACTATAACAATTATCTAAATATTAAATTTAATTTAAAATTTAATGAATAAGAATTGAATAATGATGTTAATGCCCAGTTAATATCTGCTAACATTTTATTGCTTTAAATCACTAAAACTAAAATGTTTCTGTGAAAAATGTATCAGCTTTTATCATTATTTAAAATGATTATTTTACACTTGCAGTTGACTGCTAAATTCTGATTACATTATTTTCCTAAATACTAAGACTTAACTTCCTCAATATCATTAGTTTTTTTTATAACTAATGATATTGATGAAGTTAAGTCTTTTAGTATTTAGGAAAATTCTAAAAAATAATTGCCAGATTTTACAAATTAAAATAAGACACCTTGTCTAAAATTGAATTATACAAGAATTATATCACAATTTCTATAGACATATGCAAATTAGAACATATTTTAAATTTGAACTGTCTTAGGTTTCAATTTGGTAAATTTAGAAACCCTTTTTTAGTATAGCCATAAAGAAAATCTTTTCAAAATATCAGTTTCAAAATGCCCTCCTTGTGTCTATACAAACTTTAGAATAAAAAAGGAGATTATAAACTTATTTTAAAATCTCATTTCATTTAAATTTTAAGTCTATGATGATCTCGTAACGTCAACGAAATGCTAAGCTGAAGCATCAACTTAGAGATAACAGATTGAGTTTATCAAAATGTTTTCATTATTATTAAAATAATTTTGTAGTATATTTCTTAAATTGCTCTCATTAAAATGTGAACAGTAATTGCTAGTTGATAACAATTACCTCTTCTTAGCGTTTTTATCAAGGCAAAACGTTGAAAATTTTAGAAGCGTCAAACCATTTTCCACTATTTTTCTGTTTTAGGTCTGCTATCTTTAGTCTTTCTCAAGCTAAAACAACAGCAGTATTAAAACTATTATGATACACAATGTTTAATCGGTTAATAGTGTAAACTTCAATTTTTAAAAAAGCAAATAACCCTGGAATATAAAGAATTTTTTACATTCGAACATTTGGCATCTTTCAATATGGCGCCCTACAGTTGTGAACATATTTTGAATTTAAAACTGGAAAATATTCTTTGAATAATAAGTATATGAGAAATGTATTAATTAAAGTTTTTAGTCTATTTTAGAAAACAGAATCCAATATTTTTAAAAAAATGTATTTACGAAAAAAATGAAGAAAAAAAAAAAGAAAGGGACCTTGGATAATCTCGAACCCAAGACTCATCTTACAAGTTTTATAACAAATAAAAAAATAATTTTAAAAATTATTACAAATTGAATGTATTTAGATTTGATTATTTTAAAAATAATTCAAATTGCCAGAGTAATATTAATTATTAACTTATGATTTATTTTTAAAAAATTAAAAGTAAGTTAGTGTGAAAATCGAGTAATTTCTTCCACCCCGAAATCAATAAATAATCAACTTGAAAATTTTGTAAAAGAGAAATAAAAAATCTGAATTTGGTGTATTTGCGTTCTCCAAAAAATAACAGAAAATTTTAATGCCGCAAAATTCTCGAAATGATTCGAGGGAAATTTTTAAAGTAAAATTTTACAAATGTATAAAACCGTTGTTTTCTGCGTTTGAATATATTCATGCGCTGTTATCGTCACCTTGTCTTAGTGCGCATTATATCCTTGCGCGTTCAATATAAGTACCCATTGTTATATACAAATTAACCTCTAAAATTTTATATAAACATAATAAAAAACAAGTAATAACGAATAAAATTGACTCAATAGGATAATTTAATTTAAAAAATATCTTAAGAGCAAAGATTATTTGGAATAAAAATTTGTCATCAAGACTAGCCCGCAGATTACAATAATATATCACGTGCCCACGGTGTACGAATAATTTATCCTCGTTATAAAATTCCGTGTAGAAAGCGTATATAATAACTGTCAATTATTGTTTAAAATATTTTTACGCTACCTGCGCCCGAAATTCTGCCTAATTTTTAAAAAAAATAACCTTATAATTACTTAATAGGCTAATATCAAAATAAGCGTGCAACTTTATTACTACAAAGTTTATCATCTATCAGAAGGATTAGCAAAGACTCCAATTATTAAACTTTTTACTACTTCATACTATTTAATTTTAAAGCCTTTAAGGTATTTTATATTTTTCTTTGTTATAAATAATACGTCTTAAAATATTTTCATTTAATGAAAATGAGGACCTAAGAGGCAGAGGCGTATAAATAGCCCCGAAAGCCACAACCTATTGGGGTATTGAGAGGAGGATTAATTTAGACACGGGTCACATTACCCATTACACCCGTTCCTTCCGCCTTTTAGGTTTTCCACCATTGCAGACATACTTGGAAAGCAGGACGCCTTTTCCAACCAAGGAGGCTCTCATATTGCCAGCAGAGGAGAACAAAAAAATAACTAACTAAACTAAGCCTAATTAAGAACTTCATCTACCAAAAAACTTTCACAAAATGAATCCTACACCCCCAAACTACCCGATGGCGTCGCTGTATGTAGGCGATTTGCATCCGGACGTCACAGAAGCACTACTCTTCGAAAAATTTTCCACGGCCGGCCCGGTCACCTCCATTCGCGTATGTCGGGATATGATTGCTCGCCGTTCGCTCGGTTATGCCTATGTCAATTTTCAACAACCCGCCGATGCTGAAAGAGCACTGGATACTATGAATTTTGATACTATAAAAGGCCGACCCATACGTATCATGTGGTCGCAACGAGATCCTTCCCTTCGTAAATCTGGAGTCGGTAATGTGTTCATCAAAAATTTGGATAAAAGTATTGATAACAAAGCTCTCTACGACACTTTTTCTGCCTTCGGCAACATCCTGTCCTGCAAAATCGTTTCTGATGAAAATGGCTCGAAAGGATATGGATTCGTGCACTTCGAGACTGGTGAAGCGGCGCGCAACGCTATCGAAAAAGTTAATGGCATGTTGCTTAATGGTAAGAAAGTCTATGTCGGCAAATTTATTCCACGTAAAGAAAGAATGCAACAGCTTGGTGACAAATACAAGAAATTTACTAATGTTTACGTTAAAAATTTCAGCGATGAACTGGACGATGAAAAGCTACGACAGATGTTTGAGAAATTTGGCAAAATTGCGAGTGCTAAAGTTATGACCGATGAAAATGGCAAGTCGAAAGGATTCGGCTTTGTGAGTTTTGAAGAAGCCGAATCTGCCGAGAATGCTGTGTCGGACATAAATGGCATAGACATCAACGGACGCCAGATATATGCGGGCCGAGCTCAGAAGAAAGCAGAGCGACAGATCGAACTTAAAGAAAAATTTGAAAAGCTGAAATTAGAACGTATCAACCGCTACCAAGGTGTTAATCTCTATGTGAAAAACCTGGACGACGTCATTGACGATGAGCGTCTGCGCAAGGAGTTTTCTCAATTCGGCACGATCACCAGTGCAAGGGTTATGACGGAAAATGGACGATCAAAAGGCTTCGGTTTCGTTTGCTTTTCCTCTCCTGAGGAAGCCACGAAGGCCGTCACCGAGATGAATGGCCGCATCCTTGTTTTCAAACCGTTGTATGTGGCACTGGCCCAACAAAAAGAAGAACGCAAAGCTCAGTTAGCCTCTCAGTACATTCAGCGAATCGCCAGTATGAGAACCCAAGTGAACACCCAGATGGGACAGTTATTCCAGCCAAATAATACTACTGCTGGCTATTTTGTTCCGACCCTACACCAGACTCAAAGATATTATCCATCTCAAGTACAGCAGTTGAGGGCCGGACCGGGTCCACGTTGGCAAACCGTGCGACCAACCGCGGGCCAGCAGGCCGCTGCGTACCAGCCTATGGCCGCCACCCAACAAATGAGGCAACCCCGACCGACGGGAACCCAGACTACCGTCCGCAGCAACCTTAATGCCCGGCCCATTACTGGACAACCATCCGGACAGAGAGTGACCGCTCCGCAAACGGTTACTGGCAGGCCTACGACAGCGAACATACCGCCTCAGAGTCACGTGAGGCCTACCTTCAACAACAAGTATAGCCAGATGAGGCCACCAGCCCCATCGGCTACAACTGCTGCCATGCAGCCCATGTTGGCCCCAAGCCAGGCCCAGGCGCAAGCCCAACAGGCCGTAGTTGTGCACGGACAGGAGCCTCTCACTTCAGGCATGCTGACCGCTGCACCTCCTCAGGAACAAAAGCAGATGCTTGGCGAGCGATTGTTCCCTCTGATTCAGCGCATGCACCCAGACATGGCTGGCAAAATCACTGGCATGTTGTTAGAAATAGATAATTCGGAGCTGTTGCACATGTTGGAGTCTCACGAGTCCCTGAGAGCCAAAGTTGACGAGGCACTAGCAGTTCTTCAAGCTCATCAAGCTAAGGAAGCTGCCAACTCGGGTGGTGTGAATGCTGTCAAGAAAGAATGAAGGAATTAAGTAGTAAACTTAAAGGCCTGGCCTTGTAGTTCAGTTAAACATACACACATAACAAACACAAAAAAAAAAGTAACAAAGAAAAAATTCACTCTTCTTCCTTTCCCCTTCCCATCACCAGACCCTCCTTAACCTTTCTGTGTATATGTTTCTCTCTCTCTCTCTCTCTCTCTCTCTCGCTCTTTCTTTCTCTCTCTTCTATAGCCAACTTTTAATTTACTAAAATGTACTTGTCTCTATCTTCATGCTCTTTTCCCTTCTTTTATAAAATCCTTTGCTGCATTTCTCTCGCGTCCTCTCTCCAACTCACTTTTTAAAAAAAAAAAAAAAAATTCTTTTAATTTTTTTTTTTATTTTCTTTTTTTTATTTTCTTTTTTAAGCCTTGCACACGAATTAAACACCAACACTTACTAAAAGAAATAATCTTGTGTGTAAGGTGCCTCTTCGGTTGGGTTAGTTTGTCCTCTGCCCCCCCATTGAATGGTCGTCAGTCCATTTCTCCTCTCCCACGTGGACGGACGGATGGACTTGCATATGGAAGAAAACATTGACTATCAATTCGTTCTGCAAACTACCGACCTACCACCGCTATGAAACAACCAGGTGTGGACGATTGCCCCCTCTCCCTAAAACATCACCCCAACTTCATTTAAGGAAAAATAATTGGAAAAAAAAAAGAAAAGAAAAAAAATCATCTCCTCCTGCTGCTGCAACAACAAAAAAATCTGAAATTTTAAAATGAAAAACAAAAAAGTGTCGTTGGAGATGACGTGAAAAGAATTGCACTAAAGACTCTTCTTGTTGTTTTTGTTGTCAAAGATAACTTTTTTTCTGGTCACCGGACTGAAATCAACATCATTTTTTTTTTTTTTTTTTATTTAATTTATTTTTCTTGTTTTGCTTTAGTCTTTTTTTTTCCTGTCAAGTTTTCACGTGTTTGTATTGTACATGCATGTGTCTTCTCTTGTCTTTTGTCTTTTTTTTTTTTCTCTCGCTTTCTCTAAACTTTTTTTCATTAAGTCTAACTAGTAATTTGTATTTTAGTCGTCCAAAAATGCTAAATCCTCCCTATTTTTACATGTGTGCCAATGAACAGAAAATAATGGCGACAGTGGTTTTTCGTTTTTATTTTTATTTTTTAAAAATAGAAACAGGGAAATTTTAAAAGCAAAGCTTTGAAATTAGAAACTTTAATTTTTAGTACTTATGATAAATAAAAAAAAAAAATTAAAAAAAAACAACTAGCTAGCATGGTTTCAGTTGATGGCCTTCTTTCTTTCTAATAACGCTTAGTAACCATTCTGTAAAAAATGTGTGCATATATATATATATATATATATATATATATATATATATATATATATATACACACACACACGTATGTATGTATATACATAGATCTATATCTAATCAAATCTTTCACTTACTGTAGAATTTCTAGTAGAAAAAGTCCCTCCACAAAAACAAATTGTTTTTGTTTAGATGATTGAAGACAAGAATGGTTATCTGAGAGAATTTTTTTCTTCCTTCCTTTCTCATAAAAATGTAAATTGATTTTTTAAGAAAAATTTAAAAAAAAATTATGTAAAGAAAAAAAAATCTAAAGAGATATGTAATAATTCTCAGGAAATAATGAGAAAAACGAAAGATTTAAATATGAAAAAATAAGAAAAAAATAGTAAAATGAGAACTTAAAAAAAAATTGTAATAAATGAAAACTCTACCAAATAAAAATCCGTAAAATGTTTAAAAATGGAAAAAAATTAACATTTTAAAAAGCTTGAACCTGAAACTTGCTGGTGGCCTTGGCAAAAACTCTAGGTTGGCAACCTGCAAAATATATTTACAAAAAAGGAGAAAAAAAAGCGAAACATTTAAAAAAAAATATAAAAAAAAAAAAAAAAATAACCAAACAAAACCTACATGAAATATTCTTCAGACTTCTTAAAAAAATCTAAATTTGGTGTAGGACAAAATTTATATATTTTTTTTTTCTTCTCCTTATTTAGAATTGGGTTTGATTTTTGGGGGGTGGGTTTTGATGCTGGTTATAGTTTTTGTTGAATTATTAATAAGGTGCAGTTTCTCTGTATTTCAATTTGTTACTAATAGCTTAAAAAAACCAAAAAAAATAAAATTTAAACCTCCTCCTCCCCACCTTCCCTAAAATAAATAAATAAAATAAAAACTGTTACCACCTCGTCAATGGTGATGTATGTCCCCGGCCTTTTATTTTTATTTTGGCCCTGCCCAACTTTTAGTACCAATACTTTTTTTATTATTATTATTATTATTATTGCCTTCCCATTATCGTCCCTTCTTATTGTCCTCTCCCTTTCCTACAAGTTGGTACTTTTGTAAAAAAAAAATAAAACAAAATAAAATAAAACTTAAAAAAAAAAGGTTCAAATTCCAACATGGGATGTATCTTGTGGTGGGACCGGCATTTCACAAATATGTACTGGTGATGAATTTCATCTTTTCTTCATTCAAATAATAAACAAAATAAATGATTTGTTTGTTTTTTTTTTTGTCTTTTTCATTCAGGCACCTGTCATAATAAACTTGGAGGTGGCCTTTTCCTTTTAATTTTAAATTGTCCTTTAAATTACTTTACTTTTTTCTGATGACATAACTGAAAACTTGTCTTTTAAAAGCATAACTTGTATCTGTTGAATTTTAACCACAAATTCTGTCTGGAATTTTCATAAAATTCTTTTTTAATTAATACAACCCCCTTTTTAGTTTTTGTAAGTGTAAAATATTTCAGAATAGAATGCAAAATTGCAATAAAAGAATTAAAACTGAATTCAACTTACTTCATTACACACCAGATCTTTTAGAGTTGTGCCCACCCCCACCTTTTAAATGAAGTGAATTATGAATACTCATGCTTTTATGGACAACTTTTCAGATCCTAACAAGTAAGCTCATTGTATTAGAGATTTATTTTTACTTTTTAGTCTACCAAACAAACTTGGGCAAATATATGTAAATAGAATCACTTCAATACTGATATTACCAAATAAAATTTACTCAATTTTGGTATAAAAATGTAAATTGATTTTAAGAAAAACTTGAATGTTTGAATTTCCTAAAAATTAGATAATTTAACAATGTTATCTGATACAAGACCAAGTCATATTCATCATTTTCTTTTATTATCATTGTCCTCTGTCATGTATTTTATTTTCTCATTTTGGATTCATCACTAACTTTTATGTATTACATTGGATATCCTCAGTATGTGACAGCCATGTTTTAAATCAAGGAATGCATTCTGCTTCTCTTATGCAGATCTTCATTAGAGATGTTAAGTTTATAAATATAACAGATTTTTTCTTTTCTTGAGGACTGAAAGACAATATCTCTATATAAGAAATAACAAAATATTTGCATTTTTAAAAAAAACTTAACTGTCCTTATCAAACTTGATATATTCTAGTTAAAATTGGTTTAAGTGTATTGAAAGAATACATTTTATAGTTAAAATGAATTTTATTTGCTTTGAAATATGTTAATAGTTAATTTTGTCTTTTATCTATCAAGTTATTGATACAGTTGCTCTGACAAGATGTTTTTGTTTCTCTGGCAGCTTTTTGGGAAGAGGCTATTTTGTTGATTCTGTTAAAATAGAAAGACACTTGAGCTTGCTTTGCCAGTCTCTAAAATAGACACCCTCCCCACAAGCGGCTATTTTGCTGGTAAATGTTATGAAGGAAGGTAATGTTGAAAATAACATTTAACAGTTTTTCACCAATTATTAAAAGAAATATAGAAATCTGAATATTTTAAGCATTTCAGGCATAACAGTCTCTGCAAAGTATCTAGATCTCTATCACTGGATGATTGCTTAATGAATGCAGTTGGTTTAGCTCATGGTATTTAATGTCAGGATTGAACTGGCGATTCAGCATTGTCTTCTGAGATATAGCAATTGGTCTGTCTCTTTTCCACAACTGCACAGTTGGTATCTTTTCAGCAAATGAACTGAAAGTATTACCAACACTGAGTTCCATGGCTATACTGAATGAATATTGTTTTTTATATATATATATATATATATTCTTAGTTTTAAAGCACTATTTATATTTGCCAGCAAAATAGCCTATTTGTTTAATGTAATATTGGTTTCCTACAGTTGATGATGCTGTAGAGATACATAATTAGTTGGTCAGAGGTGTATCATTAAATTATGTGACTTCTGTTGGTATGGTGAAACACATTACCAGGCACAGTTCTGGAAAATTTGTTTATAAGCTTGTAGTTAATTTATCCATGTTGTTAACTGACTTAAGCTTTAGCACAGCTGCAGAGTAAACTATCTAAATAATAAAAACTTTGTAAAAGGAGCTGTTGGGGTGATGAGAATCAAGTAGATATTGAAGACTAAAGCTTTGGTAAACAAGATATGGTATTGCAAAATAGCTTACAACTTTTATCATCCAATGAAAATCATTTCTTTCTTTTTTTTTTTTTTTTTTTTTTTTGTAAGCATGACAAATCTCAGATAAGTTCAAGGATTATGTATGAAGACAGGCTCATTTTTTATCATGTAACCTACAGAACATAACAGATTTCTGTTTAAAGTTATACAGTTTGTAGCAGAAATACCTCCCACATAATGTTAAGACATTAGTAACAATGGTGTCGTTAAGATTTATTACTGATACAGTAATTGTGGCACAAGGCCGAAAAAAGTGGGGAGACTGGTCAAGATTGGTCATTACTAGCTATCTTATACCTAGCTAATTGGATTCACAACTCATTCATACATTACAATATATTCATTCGCCATCAGAATTTATCCGTCACCATTTGATCCTTATACACCAAAATACCTCACACACTAGGCACCTACTGGGGGGAAAAAAACACCCCATGAGTTAAAAATTCCAATATGTACAATTGTGTATTTTATATATATATATATATAACAATGGTGTCTTCATCTAGCCATTATGTAAGACGTATTTCTGCTGTACCCTGTATTTTAAGCATGAAATTCAGCTTAAACATGAGAATTTGTTAAGCATAACCAGGCTCAGCTAAAATTGTATAAGGCTTAAAAAAAAGACTGTATAATAAAATAATCTATTTTGTCTGTCTTAATTACCTTAAATATTCAGCATCACACTTGTCCTAAATTCTCAGTGTCACATTTGCCTTAATTTTTCAGCATTGAAAATCCTTTTTCTAATTTTCAATTTTTCTAAATCAAT